GTGAGACGGGAGGCTGGACTGGAGGGACCCTCCCTGGTCTGACCCAGCAGGGCTCTTCTGGTGCTCTTCTCAGGGGAAGGCCTCGGCCTCTCTGCCCTGTTGCTGGCCCTCCAGAGGGACTGGCTGGCCCCTGTGTGAGACGGGAGGTTGGACTAGAGGGACCCTCCCTGGTCTGACCCAGCAGGGCTCTTCTGAAGTTCTTCTCAGGGGAAGGCCTCGGTCTCTCTGCCCTGTTGCTGGCCCTCCCGAGGAACTGGCTGGCCCCTGTGTGAGACAGGATAAGAACATCAGAAGAGACCTGCTGGGCCAGACCAGTGGAACACCTCCCCTAATTCCTATACTCCGCAAGGGATCCATGCATGGAAGTGTTTTCCAAGGGTGTACGGCTGGATTAGAGACCAACAATATTTTGGGGATATGAGCTTTTGAGAGAGTCAAAGCTGTCCTTATCGGATACCGCGGGGAATTTTGTTGCTCTCTACAGTCCTGCTGGATTCAAATCCGGCTCTCCTGGTGCAGACCCAACCGAGGGTGCTGAGTTCGAGGCCCACGGTGCTGAGATCCGTTTGTTCGCTTCTGCATGAAACGGAATCTCCTCTCGGACGTGGGCCTCCAGGGGTCAGGTCGAGAGGATAAGCTGACTGAGGGAAGATGGACCAGTACCCATCTGCCTTCTCCGGTTCTGAGATAATTTGATGGCTAAGCGATCTGTGCCTTGATATGCAGTAAAAGGGGGGTGAATGCTGATACCTGGGGGGGGGGTTTGGCCAGGTATCTGGGTTCTCCGGCAGGAGGCGGGTGTAAAATGACAGGCGGGAGGCCGTTAATTGTTCTCTCGGCTGCCATCTGGAGCTCTGGAGAAATGCATCCGCCTCACGTTGCGTCTCTTACTCTCCCCCCCCCCCAAGCAAATGTATGGGATTCGTAGGCTCACAGCAATACCTGGAGTGGGAAGTCTCAAGTGGCTCTCCTGTGTGAGTAATGCAAGCGCTTAAGTGGGAAACCTTCACCGCCCAAGGACCTGTTGATGGCTGCAGGCATAGATGGCTTTGAGATTAGACACCATCGTGGAGGGTTAGGTCTCGCAGTGGGTCCAAGCCATGGTGGTGAAAGAGGGACCTCCACATTCACAGGCAATCAGCCTCCGAACCCCAGAGCCAGGAGGCAACATCAGGAGAAGGCTTCGGCCTCTGTGCCCTGCTATTGGACCTCCAGAGGAACTGGTTGACCACTCGATGCTGGACTGGATCTGGTCTGGTCTGGATCTCCCTGGTCTGACCCAGCAGGGCTCTTCTGATGTTCCTATCGGGAAGGCCTCAGCCTCTCTGCCCTGTTGCTGGACCTCCGGAGGGACTGGCTGGCCGCAGTGTGGAATGGGATGCTGGACTAGATGGACCCTCACTGGTCTGACCCAGCAGGGCTCTTCTGATGTTCCTATCGGGAAGGCCTCAGCCTCTCTGCCCTGTTGCTGGACCTCCGGAGGGACTGGCTGGCCGCAGTGTGGAATGGGATGCTGGACTAGATGGACCCTCACTGGTCTGACCCAGCAGGGCTCGTCTGATGTCCTTATCCATGTAGGAGTATTTCTTGATAAACTGCGATGTGGACCAACCCCTGACTGTTGTCCTGTGGGTGCCAGTGCTAATCTGCTTTCTTCCCCAGTTCCTGAGAGGCAAAGATAGGTCTTTTAGAGGGGATTTGGTCACCTATCTATCCCTCATGATTTACCCTTTCCCCACAGTTCTGGGAAGTCATCAGCGATGAGCACGGTATAGACCCCACCGGCACCTACCATGGAGACAGCGATCTTCAGTTGGAGAGGATCAACGTCTACTACAATGAGGCCTCAGGTGAGTGCCGAATAGCAGTGCCGAGTACACTGGAAGCCAAAGTCCTCCATGGAATCTCACAGGGTCCTTGCTGAACAAATCTAACTGCAGTCATGTATTCTTTTCCCACACACCCCACATCCTTCCTTTGCTTCTCTGCCCGTACTTATGCGACGTCTGTTGGGGCCCCTGCCTTATGGAATGGCTTGTCCAGGGAAGTCAGGAAGTGTCCCACTAATCTTGTCTCGTCACAGACTGTGCGAAACAGAATTATTCAAGAGGGCTTTTTTACACAGCTAAATAGATCTTCACCCAAAGAGGAACTAGAACATGGAATTCAACTGCCACAGGAAGTGGTGGCGGCTACAAGCACAAACAGCTTCAAGAGGGGATTGGGTAAACATACGGAGCAGAGGTCCGTCAGTGGCTGTTAGCCACAAGGGATAGAGGGAACACTCTGTCTGGGGCAAGTGATGCTCTGGGTTCTTGGTGCTTGGGGGGGGAGCAACAGTGGGAGGGCTTCTGGAGTTCTGGCCCCGCTGGTGGACCTTCTAATGGCCCCTGGGTTTCAGCCACAGTGTGACACAGAGTGTTGGACTTGGACGGGCCATTGGCCTGATCCACCATGGCTTCTCTTTAGTTCTTATGTCTGTACTGTAACAAAATGGTTCAGAAAGTTGCCTTGATAAAGGGACAAAGTGCAGAAAAGGGAAACTCGAATGAGGAAAGGTTAAGGCGCTTAGGGCTCTTTAGCTTGGAGAAATGACGACTGAGGGGTGACATGATCGAGGTTTATAAGATTATGCATGGGAAAGAGCAGGTAGAGAAAGAGGTACTTTTCTCCCTTTCTCACAATACAAGAACTCGTGGGCACTCCATGAAACTGCTGAGCGGTCGGGTTAGAACGGATAAAAGGAAGTCCTTCTTCACCCAAAGAGTGATTAACACATGGAATTCACTGCCACAGGAAGTGGTGGCGGCTACAAGCATGGACGGCTTCAAAAGGGAATTAGATAAGCATATGGAGCAGAGGTCCATCAGTGGCTATTAGCCACAAGGTATAGATAGGGACTCTGGGGCAAGTGATGCTCTGTCATCTTGGTGCTTGGGGGGGTCAACAGTGGGAGGGCTTCTAATGTCCTGGCCCCACTGGTGGACCTCCTGATGGCACTGGTATTTCTGGCCACTGTGTGACACAGAGTGTTGGACGGGATAGGCCATTGGCCTGATCCAACATTGGCTTCTCTTATGTTCTTATGACACAGACCATGGCCTACACTACTGTATTGCTGCCTATTGCTGTAAGCAGGGCTCTTTTTTGTAGAAGAAGCCCAGCAGGAACTCATTAGCATAGTAGGCCATACCCAGCAGCAGGAACTCATTAGCATATTAGGCCACACCCCCATGCCTTCCCTTGTCTTGAAGGGAAGCCAGTTTAAGTCCAGACCATTCCTTCCTCTAAGCTGTGGAGTCCTGTGAGCAAAAATCCTACTTTGTGAGCTGCTGGCATGAAAGCTGTGAGCGAGCGATTTGGCTACGGCGTAAATCAGTTTGCTTCCTTCCTGAGTGAAGGCAGAAATGTGTGAGCCAGAGGCTTAAAAAAACCTGAGCTAGCTCACACTGACTCGGCTTAGAGGGAACACTGCTCCAGACTAGGTAGTTTCTGCAGCACTTAATGTGTCCTGTTTAGATGCTCACGCTTTGCTTTCTGCTCTGTTTGAGATTTCTGCTTGCTTTCGTCTGCAGTCCGAGCCCTCTGGCACTCTTTATTGGATGTCCCATCCCCTGCTGAAGGTACTTGGGACACGCTACGTAGTGCGCCTTGGGTCTCAGCGAGAGAGGCAGACGATAAATACCATAGATAAGTCCATGTTGCTGACTCTTGTCTGGAGCAGGCTCACGGGTGGCCAAGGCTGGAGCGAGGCCTTCCGTTCTCTCCGGCAGCACAAGCAACAGCGGTCAAATGGAGCCGGGGAGACGTCCAGACAAACACACCTTTGATGCTGTGCCCTGCTTGGGTTGCCATAGTCACACTATGTGTGACAGCATCGAGCGCGTGAACAGGCTGAAGCTCTGGGTTGTTATGAACGAACAAATCACAACACGTCACAGCTCTGTGCTGAAGAAAGCCTCTGCATATTGCCTCTGCCTGGTCTCCTTTAGCCGGCATGGTCAGGCTGCAGCCACGGCTTTACTCTCTACTGGGCCATGTTGCTCCTTCAGAACATAAGAGAAGCCAGTGTTGGATCAGGCCAATAGACCATCTAGTCCAACACTCTGTGTCACACAGTGGCCAGAAATACCCGGTGCCATCAGGAGGTCCAGCCGTGGGGCCAGGACACTAGGAGCCCTCCCACTGTTGCCCCCACCCCCAGGCACAAAGAATACAGTGCATCACCTGCCCCAGCCTGTGAGTTCCTATCTATACCTTGTGGCTAAGAGCCCCTGAGAGACTTCTGCTCCATATGCTTATCTAATTCCCTCTTATAAGAAGGTGAGAGAAGCCAGTGTTGGATCAGGCCAGTGGCCCATCCAGTCCAACACTCTGTGTCACACAGTGGCCAAAAATACCAGGTGCTCTCAGGAGGTCCAGCAGTGGGACCAGGACACCAGAAGCCCTCCCACTGTTGCCCCCCCCCCCCGGCAACAAGAATACAGAGCATCCGTTGTCCCAGACGGAGCGTTCCTATTCTATACCTCATGACTAAGAGCCACTGATGGACCTCTGCTCCATATGCTTATCTAATTCCCTTTTGAAGCCGTCCATGCTTGTAGCCGCCACCACCTCCTGTGGCAGTGAATTCCAAGTGTTAATCACTCTTTGGGTGAAGAAGAACTTCCTTTTATCTGTTCTAACCTGACTGCTCAGCAATTTCATGGAGTGCCCACAAGGAGTTCTTGTATTGTGAGAAAGGGAGAAAAGTACCTCTTTCTCTACGTGCTCTATCCCATGCATACTCTTATAAACTTCGATCATGTCACCGTTGTTTCTCCAAGCTAAAGAGCCCCAAGCGCCTGAACCTTTCCTCATAGGGAAAGTTCTCCAACCCTTTTATCATTCTAGTAGCCCTTTTCTGCACTTTTCCAAATGCTATAATATCCTTTCTGAGGTGTGGTGACCAGAACTGTACACAGTACTCCAAATGAGGTCGCACCACTGATTTATACAGGGGCATTATGATACTGGCTGATTTGTTTTCAGTTCCCTTCCTAACTGGTTGCCAACGTTGGCCTTTTTTATTGCAGTCACACACACTCTCAACATTTTCAGTGAGTTATCTACTACGACTCCCAAGATCTCTCGGTCAGTCTCTGCGAGTTCGGACCCCGTCAATGTGTATTTATAGTTAGGATTTTTGGCCCCAATGTCCATCACTTTGCACTTGGCCACATTGAACCCCATTTCCCACACTGACGCCTACTCACCCATCCTCAACAGATCCCTTTGGAGTGCCTTGAGTCACATTATGCCAGTCACTTTCGGCCTGTCCTACCTCATAAGGATGTTGGGGACAATGCTCCCTCTAAGCTGTGGAGTCTTGTGAGCAAAAATTCTACTTTGTGAACGACTGGCATTAAAGTTGTGAGCCAGCGATGTGGCTGCTGCATAAATTAGTTTGCTCTGGAGCCATCCTTCCTGAGCAAAGGCAAAAATGTGTGAGCCGGAGGCTAAAAAACCGTGGGCTAGCACACACTAACTCAGCTTAGAGGGAACCCTGGTTGGGGGGTGCCTGGTGTTCTGTCCTCAGCTCCAGCAAAGGGGATGACGGCTTCGTGGTCCCGGATTCCTTGATCTGTCTGTTACTTCATTTGTACCCTGCCTTTCTCGCCAGCGGTGACCCAGAGTGACTTACCCTGTTCGCCTCTCCTCCATTTTATCTGCACAACAGTCCTGCGAGGTAGGACAGGCTGAAAGTGACTGGCTTAAGGTCACCCAATGAGGTTCCATGGCACAGCAAGGATTCAGACCTAGTCTGATACTCTAAACCATTACACCACACTGGCTGTCTTCCATTCCCATGGGGCAGTGGTGCTCTGTCTTCTTGGTGCTGGGGGGGGGGCAACAGTGGGAGGGCTTCTTGTGTCCTGGCCCTGCTGCTGGACCTCCTGGTGGCACCTGGGTTTTGGCCACTGTGTGACACAGAGTGTTGGACTGGATGGGCCATTGGCCTGATCCAACAGGGCTTCTCTTAGGTTCTGATGATCTGATGTCTCTGGTTTATCGACAACCTTTCCTTGGATAAACAGTGTAAAATGTAATAGGAAGGCTATGGATTAGGGTGAAAGTTGCAATTTTAGAAAGGAAACGGGGCTACATCCAATGTTCCCTTTAAGCTTTGGAGACTTGTAAGCAAAAATTCTACTTTGCGAGCTACTGGCATTAAAGTAGTGAGCGAGCGATTTGGCTGCTGCATCAATTAGTTTGCTCTGGAGCCATCCTTCCTGAGCTTAGACGAAAATGTGTGAGCCAGAGGCTAAAAAACTGTGAGCCAGCTCAAACAAACTCAGCTTAGAGGGAATACTGGCTACATCGTAACAGAGTGGTCCAGTAAAGTGCACTGTTTCTCTACCCATGTGATACACTGTTTAAAATGTACTGTTTGGGTACTTAACACTTCCTTCTTATGGCAACGCTGTTTCAAAATTCTGGGATTCCTAGTCCTGTTACACTGGATATGAAATGTATCGTCCTGTGGACTGATTTATGTTGTGCCGTTCACACTGCATCTCTGGAGAAAGACGGGCGATGAATAAAAATTGAACATGGGCCGCACTGAGTCAGTAGCCCTCTCGACCGGTCTAGCAAGCTGCAACTGACGTGTATAAGGAATCAGCGTTCCCTCTAAGCTGAGTTAGTGTGAGCTAGCTTGGAATTTTTTAGCCTCCGGCTCACCCATTTCTGACTTAGCACAGGAAGGAGGGCTCCAGAGCAAACTAATTTATCCTGCAGCCAAATCGCTCGCTCACAGCTTTAATGCCAGTAGCTCACAAAGCAGAATTTCTGCTCGCAAGACTCCGCAGCTTAGAGGGAGGATTGATAAGGATAACTGGTTTCCCTTTTGCTCACCACCAGTGCGTTTGACAGGATTCTATGGGGAGAACTCTGAATGCTGGACAGGTCCCACCAGTGCGCCCTCTAAGCTGTGAGCACGCGATTTGGCTACTGCATAAATTATTAGTTTGCTCTGGAGCCATCGTTCCTAAGCTAAGGCAAAAATGGGCGAGCCAGAGGCTAAAAAACTGCGAGCTAGCTCACACCAACTCAGCTTAGAAGGAACACTGAATCCCCCCTGCAGCGCTAATGTCCCACTGCTGCAGGACACTTACCAAAAGGTCCCTAATCTTTTCCCCCAAGCAGTTGTTGAGAATGAGGGCAAGTCGAAGGCGGGGTCTATGGTGCAACGATGGCGGACGCCTTTCCCGAGGCTCAGGGAGGGTGCTCTGCACAGGAGGGGAGGGGTGCCGCTGGATCGGCGCCTCCACGGGGGGTCAGGGAGGCCCCTCAGGCCATAGGGCTTTTGAGGGTGAGCCTCTTTTCCTGCTATCTGCAGGGGAATTGAGGCTGACCCTCCGCCCTGACGGTCCTCCCCGCTGTCTGCGTCCTCTTAGCGAGGCACAAGATGTGCCGACCCAGCCAAGCGCAGGAGATCTGGCGAAGGAGCGATTACGAGCGTGGTTAAGAAACAATTAACTGTGAGTTAAAATTAGCCAACCGTAAACAGAAGCGTAAATCCCCCCCCCTCCGAAACCTTTTGAGCTATTGGAATCCTGCTGAGAGGGACACCTCTCGGATGCATTTGCATAAGCCGAGGAGAGAGAGGGAGAGGGAGAGCTGTAAACAGACACTTTGAAGTGAAAATCCCCCCCCCCAAAAAAAAGCCTCTTGAGTGACTGGAATCGTGCTGAGAGAGGGAGACCTCTCTGATGCATTTAGATAAGCAGAGGAAAAAGGGAGAGAAAGAGACTATTGTAAATGGATATTTGGAAGCGAAAAGCTGTGGGAGATATCCATGAGTATTTAAGCAACTAAACAGCGTGTAAGCGATTTTCAGAGCCGGGGAGAAAACGATTTTATATTGGAATTAAAGTGTAAAAATGGCAGACACTCCAAAAAAGTCAGCGAAAACAACTCCGAGAAGAAGGGAAGTGAAAGTTATAGAACTCATAGCAGAAGCCACGAAGCCGATTCTTGAGCAACTTGTTGGTATTAACCATCAGCTTGCCAAGATAAATCAACAACTCGTGTCTCGGCAGCTGCATTTGGCAACAATAGCAGAAAAGATGGAACAGAGGGCTGTCAAAGCAAAAGAGATGGACACTAAAACTAACAGCAATCTCAAAGAGACAAGGAGGGAAAGTAAGAGAGAAACAGAAAAGATTTGCAAGGACTTAACTCCTTCCCGGCAGTTGTTTTTAGAAAGTGTCGTCTTAAATTCGGTTGATAGAAAAGAGCTTGAACCTGACCTCAAGATCAAGAAGCCTGTGAGATACCACTGGGCCCCGAGGATGAGACCAAGAAGGAAGAGGCTTAAGATTGGTGGTGTTATCCCTTTGGAGACGGAGGAGGGTTGCAGAATTTCGAGTGAACGTCTAAGAAGCCATCAAGACTTTAGAGAGAATTAGCATAGATGTAAAGGCGGAAGGACTCTGAAAATTGCCCTTGCAAAGAGAGCTGGAGGAGATGCTTTGGAAATCTTCTCATAACAAGTAATAAACTAACACATAAGCTTAGAAAGACAGGATCTCACAAAGTATATTGTTTATTAACAGGGGTTTTTTTTCCATTACTAACTGCAGTCTAACAGGGTAATGATCTCCTACTCTTGGGTTTTTAGTTTAGTGTGGGTTACTTTTCTTTCTCCTTAGTTGTAGTTCCCCTTCCCCTTTTTTTTCTTTGTAGTTTATGCAGTATTATAAAAAATAACAAAATCCCCTCCGGGGGTCTTTAAAAAGAGAGAGAGAATGAGAGCAAGTCGCCCATTACAGAAACAGCTCGACTCTTCTCTTGGCGAAGAAATGCTTGCAAGCACATGAGGCAGTTTCGCACCTGGCCTGGTCTTGGCTCTGAGCTCTTCTGAGGCAGACCTACACGCGAGATTGAACCCGGTCCCTCTGGCGAGCGGGCAGAAAATCCAGTGCTAAAATAATGGGGAGGGGGGCTGTTGTCGCAGGTGATTTCTTGCCCCATTTTCAAGGTCTTTTTCCTCCCTCTCTCCTCAGGTGGTAAATATGTCCCCCGGGCTGTCTTGGTTGACCTGGAACCCGGCACCATGGACTCCGTCAGGTCTGGACCCTTTGGGCAAATCTTCAGGCCTGACAACTTCGTCTTTGGTAAGGAGCCACCTGGGGAAGGATGTTGGCAGACCTCCTCGAGTTCGGCGTCTGTCAGATGTAATGAGTTCCCTGTGAAATGGAGAGAGAATATTGTTAGTGACCAATTTGGGGGGGAGGTGGCTAGCTATACAGGCAATCATTGAGGTGTTTTTCCGCCCCAAGGGCTCAAGGTAAGTTACTGAATTTGGTACAACACACAGGGCATAGTTTTAAAGCCAGGATCAATGCCATAGGTCTCTCGCCCTGGCATCTGCCAAGTGCTTTTAGAACGTGGACAGGGCCGGGTGGCGCTTCTTCCCAGCAAGGCCTCTAATTGGCCATTGGAGATTTGATTGGCTGTGTCGGTTTTTTTAAAAACGTTGCTTTGGCAGCAGCTGCCACCACAGCACGAGGATCTTCGCTGTGTGACTGAGGGGGAGCTGTGGCGGCCATTTTGTGGCTCATTCCGCCTCCTGGAGCAGCCATTCTGTGGCTGTGTCCACCACACTGGGTCGGAATTCCAGCGGTGCCCTCCGTCAGAAACGTGGTTAAATCAGTTCTCAACAACAGCCAGTCTGAAGAAAACTAACTTTATTGAGATTGTTGATAAGATACCATTCTGGACACCCCCTTTTGTTAGAACTAAAGGTTTGCCCGCGAAGGTTACAGATATAGTGGTTTCCAACAGCAGCAATACAAACTAACAGTTGCCTATCCCCCCCCCCGACACATAGTCTCTATGTAACAAGGAAACAGAATAACAAACAAGTAAGACGCTGGGACATTAGGAGCTGCGGTGGCTCAAGTGGTTAAGACGCTGAACTGCAGGCTGTGGAAGGTCGGTATTTCAGCAGTTCGAGATCCGAGTGCCGCGGAATGGACTGAGCTCCCGTCTCTAGTTCCAGCTCCTGCCAACCTAGCAGTTCGAAAGCAAGAAACTGCAAGTAGATAAATAGGGTTAGGTGGGAAGGTAACGGCGTTCCGTGCGCCTCAGCGTCTAGTCATGCCGGCCACATGACCACGGAAACGTCTTCGGACAGGGCTGGCTCTTCGGCTTGGAAACGGAGATGAGCGCCACACCCCTAGAGTCGGATTCGACTGGCTTTCGAGCAAGGGAACCTTTACCTTTTTAAGACGCTGGGACATTTGGCTCCACTATGGTGTCAAGCTCCGGATACATCAAAGAGAGGGGTGCCCCTCTTCTCCATGGCAGGCAAGCTGTAAAATGCACAGAGAGCCTGATACCCCCAGGCTCAAAAAGACTGGGGATCCCTGGTCTATGCGGTGTAGGGATGGGCACAAACCTAAAAAACCCAGTTCAGTTTGGGATTCAGGTCGGCCCCTGAACCGAGCCAAAAGGCCCCTCACCCAAACAGAGCTAGTCCAGCGAGTTTGCTTCCCTTTCTTCTGGTCACGGCCGGGAGAAGGGGGGGGGGATCGCCCAGAAAGGGTTAAGTGGCTGGCAACCATTTAACTCATCCATTTCTTTCCCCCCTGCTTTAAAAGTGGGGGGGGGGAGCAAAACCAACCAGTGAAATGGCTCGCGGCCATTTCAGCCTAACAGTGGGGAGGGTCCGCATGTCAGCTGTTAGATTTAAATTACCCTGAACAGCCCAACTGGACAAAAGTCCAGCAGATGTTTGAGGAAGGCGCCTTCCCCGAACCTCGGTTTGAGGACTCCAAACCAGCCCAAGCCCATGCCGAATGTTGGCTCGTGAGCCAGTTCGTGCCCATCCCTAATGCTGTGTTCTGTTGAGGCATGGAGGTTTCTGTTGGAATGAACAGGCTTCATTTCATCCTCGGTGGTTTCAGGAAGCGGTGTGTTGTTGACATGCTTAAAGAAGCGTAGCTGTGTCTTCCAGAGTGCCCTCTTCACCTTCTATCCTCCCCCGCCTAGCCTAGGAAGCCCACTGTCACTGCAAATGCACTTCTAACAAATGCCAAGCATTCAGTGCGTGCACGCAGGCACAGCTTCCATTATCTGCTGTGCCCTGAGCTTTAAAAGCTGCAAGTACCCAAATGCAACACAGCTCGTAAATACAACCACCCTCTCCTCCCACTTGAGAGGTGTCCCTGGGGGAGGGAGCCGGCTCCACGGCTTTTCAGCGATCTGTGTGCGCTGGTTCAGGTTTTACAAGCGCCAGGTGCTGACTGGGGTGGAGGAGGATCTGGACGTTTTTGTGTTCTGCGGAGGTGGGGTATAATCTAGCTAGGCGGGGCCAGAGACAGTTTTCCGAGTGTGCCTTAAGCTCTGCCTCTGAAGTTGGGGCCATTCCCTTGAGCTAAAGGAGTAGCGGTGACATTCCGTAATGGAGGAAACCAGCTTTAAGCAGGTTTTGACGATTGTGGTTGCAGACACAGTCAAAATGGGGGGAAAGTTTCTTTAAAAACTGCATTCCGGTAATAAAAGGAAATTCTTTTTAAAAATCCATTTGAACGTGAATATCTTTAAATGAGAGCTTTCTATTGCATGGATTGCTTAGAACAGGGGTTCCCAACCTATTTGAGACTGTGGGCACCTTTGGCATTGACACAGCATGGTGGGCGCTGCCACAAGATGGCTGTCAGAGGAGGTGGGGCCAGTAGCAACATGACTGCCAGAGGAGGTGGAGCCAATAACAAAATGGCTGCCACAGGGGGTGGGGCCAATAACAAAATGGCTGCCAGAGGGGGTGGAGTCAATCACAAAATGGCTGCCAGAGGGGGTGGAGGCAATAACAAAATGGCCGCCACGGGGTGGCGCCAATAACAAAATGGCTGCCAGAGGGGGGTGGGGCCAATAACAAAATGGCTGCCAGAGGAGGTAGAGCCAATAACAAAATGGTGGCCACAGGAGGTGGAGCCAATAACAAAATGGCTGCCACAGATTACCTTCAGTCACACAATGAAGATCCTTGTGTTGTGGGGGCAGCTGCTGCTGAAGCAAAAAAAATTAAAAGTCTGAACTGCCAATCAGAAGCCTTGCTGAGCAACAGCTCCACTTGGCCCCGCCCACTTTCAAAAACAGTGCGTGACAGGAGAGGTGTTGGAGCCCCTACGTAGCCCATGGGCCCCATGTTGGGGGCCCCCGGTTTAGAACGTTAAGCGTATTTGGCTACTTGGTTGCACACACGTGTGATCCTGAAGTTGCATAGAACTTTTGACCTTCCCGAGAATAGAAGCAGTGCAGCTGGTGGAAGGCCGACCAGTCGCTCAGCAGGATTTGTGAAAGATCTGTGAAAGTTCTCCCTAAAAGCGTTGGAGCCTCTTCTAGGTGCTACCTCCAGTCCCCCCCCCCCAAAAAATATCATAAATCTGTCATTCTGCTGATTTGGGTGGCAGGCAGCCAGACTTGCACACAGGATGCTACCAAACCCGACTTCTAGAAGACGTTGTCAGTGTTCCTGTTGGGTAGCAGGGAAGACACTAAACAGGAATTTTCTTGCCACAGCAATAAAGGGAAGATCATTTCTGGCCCCGCCAGGGGACCTCCTGATGGCCCCTGGGATTTGGCCACTGGGTGACACAGAGGGTTGGACTGGATGAGCCACTGGCCTGATCCAACACTGGCTTCTCTTACGTTCTCACCTAGTTGAATCTGGGAGTTTGTAGCATTGTGGTCAGGCATGCTCCATGAATGCTGACTCTTCCAAGTTACCCTTAACGCTTACCTTCAAAGCCCTGTATCGCCCCGGGGCCCGCATATCTGCGAGACTGCCTCTCCCCCATGAGCCCCAAAGGGCTTTATGATCTGCTAATCAGCATCTTCTGGTGGTCCCCCAGCCCCGGGGATGTCCATCTTGCCTCGACCAGGGCCAGGCCTAGAGATGGAAAATTTCCGGAAATTTTGAAGCTCGGAAAAAACCCCGGTTTTTTTCGGGGGGAAACGGGAATTTTTGGAAAAATTGAAAAATGCCACATTAGCATTTATTTTGTCTTTTCCAGGTTGAAAGTCATTCTGTTACTTTAGGAACATAAAATATGACTATGGACACTTTTACTTGGCATGAAATTATCACAACTAGTATATTAAAAATATAGTGTTTCCAAACAATTATTTCAAACAGAATACCCACCCACGTGCAAAAACAAAACTGAAACTTTTTTATTTTCTTCTGACAATCGCACCTCATAAAGGAAGAAAGCATCTTGTTCTTGCATTGGAGGGTTGAGTTTGTAACCTAGGACTTGCTTGTCCTCAGTGCACAGAAATTAGATCAATCTGATACCATATATATATATATATATTAGAAATGATTTGGAAAATATTTGAACACCTTGTCTTAAAATATTTTATTCATCATGTTAAAATAAAACATTCCATAATCAATTTTTTTTTTCTTTTTTCAATTTTTCGGGGGGGGGGGGAAGTCTTCAGAAAAAAAACGGGGGAAATGGTTTTTTCCCGATTTTTTTCTGGGCCTTCACATCTGTAGCCAGGCCCCTACCTGGGGGAATGAGCTCCCATATGAGAACAGGGCCCTGTGGGACCTTTGACAGTTCTGCAGGGCATGCAAGACGGAGCTCTTCCGCCCGGCTTTTAGTACAGGCGGTGGGCGTCTTCCCTCTATCAGGCCTCTCCTTCAGCAGATCAGATCTTGTTTTACCATCTGGGAACCCCGATCTGAAGTAGACCACATCTGTTGAGGCTTTGATTAGAAACATAGGGATATTATGGTATTTTATCCGGTGTATTTTAGTTGTTTTTGTCTGTCTATTGTATTTGATGGGGCCCACCCTGAACCTGCTATGCGGGGAGGGCAGGATACGCATCTAATAAGTAAATAATCTCCTCCATACAGGCCTTCATTTGCACATCTGGACTTCAGGTCTGAGTGCGTCTTAATTTTGTCAGCTGGGAAGAATTTTTGGTCAAATTTGGCACCTCTGGGAGACCGACAGAATTCATTTTCCATAATGGATGGCTTTGGCCCTTTACTGATCCCTAGACACAAAAGGCTGGGTTTTGACCTTGTTGTTGCTGGTAGCCACTTTATGACCCAAGTGTCTTAACCCCTTCCTCCCCCCCCCCATCCCAACTCTCTCCTTGTTGCTCAGGCCAAAGTGGTGCCGGGAACAACTGGGCCAAGGGACATTATACGGAAGGGGCCGAGCTGGTCGACTCCGTCATGGACGTGGTCAGGAAAGAAGCCGAGAGCTGCGACTGCCTCCAGGGTTTCCAGCTGACCCACTCCCTCGGCGGGGGCACCGGCTCCGGGATGGGCACCCTGCTGATCAGCAAGATCCGGGAAGAGTACCCCGACCGCATCATGAACACCTTCAGCGTGGTGCCGTCGCCGAAGGTCTCGGACACGGTGGTGGAGCCCTACAACGCCACCCTCTCCGTGCACCAGTTGGTGGAGAACACGGACGAGACGTTCTGCATCGACAACGAGGCCCTCTACGACATCTGCTTCCGCACCCTCAAGCTCACCACGCCCACCTACGGCGACCTCAACCACTTGGTCTCGGCCACCATGAGCGGCGTGACCACCTGCCTGCGCTTCCCCGGCCAGCTCAACGCCGACCTCCGCAAGCTGGCCGTCAACATGGTGCCCTTTCCCCGCCTCCACTTCTTCATGCCCGGCTTCGCCCCCCTCACCAGCCGGGGCAGCCAGCAGTACCGGGCCCTGACCGTGCCGGAGCTCACCCAGCAGATGTTCGACGCCAAGAACATGATGGCCGCCTGCGACCCCCGCCACGGCCGCTACCTGACCGTCGCGGCGATCTTCCGTGGGAGGATGTCCATGAAGGAGGTGGACGAGCAGATGCTCAACGTGCAGAACAAGAACAGCAGCTACTTTGTGGAGTGGATCCCCAACAACGTGAAGACGGCCGTGTGCGACATCCCGCCCCGGGGCCTCAAGATGGCCGCCACCTTCATCGGCAACAGCACCGCCATCCAGGAGCTCTTCAAGCGCATCTCCGAGCAGTTCACGGCCATGTTCCGCCGCAAGGCCTTCCTCCACTGGTACACGGGCGAAGGCATGGACGAGATGGAGTTCACGGAGGCCGAGAGCAACATGAACGACCTGGTCTCTGAGTACCAGCAGTACCAAGACGCCACCGCCGAGGAAGGAGAGTTTGAAGAGGAGGCCGAGGAGGAAGTCGCGTGAAGACCTCTTCTCCTTGGCACCCCCCCACGGCTCCTCTGTATCATCCCCCCCGCCCCCCGTCTTCTGAACCGATGGACCATATTCCTGCGCTGGCATAGACTTGAACGTTTCCGAGGCCCACCTTCGAGGAGACCAGAGCTTTCCCCTCCCGCCCGCCCGCCGACGCCGCGGTGTGGAAACAATCCATACGGGATTGGCAGGGGGTCTCACCTCTGTTCAGGAATGGCAGCGAGTGGCAATATGTCTAGCAAAGAGCACGACCCAGATCTCTCCTCTCTCACCGTCTCCTTCCCCTTCCGCCTACTCTCCAAAGCACCTTCTCTGCAGTGATGTCTGTCTCTTCGTGTCCTGTACGGTCATGTGAATTTTTCATTTGTGCGTTCGGTTTCTGGGAAATGAGTATGCACTAAGTCGTGATCTGCATTGTTCTGGAGGGTTTTGTTTTTTCCTCTTCTCCCATCTATGCCAGGCTTAAAAGAAAGGTTAGCGGAACTGGGCGGGGGGGGAGGGGGTGGTTTGGAAGGTTTGGGACTCTCCTGTAAGGTGGAACGTAGTCCCCTTTCGAGTGTGGTTTGCTGTCCGAACAGTTGTATGTCTCCACAATAAACTACTGAATATTGGTACAGGCTAACGCTGGTTCTGAGTGGTGTCTTGTTCCGTCTGCCCTGCCGTAAAGGCTGAGTGAAGGGAATTAGAATCCTCGCCTCTGGGTAAGGCGCTGGCTTGCTCTTACTGCCCTTTTCTCCCCGTGGGCTTCCTCGCATGCAAGGAGGGAGGTTCCCACAAAGTCCTGGATTATTGGGCTACGTGATGCGCGGGGGATATTTCTGAAGTTATTCACGCTCCAGACACCTGAACACGTGGTGCTGAATTGAATCAGACCCTTGAATTCTGGCAAAAGAGTCAGTATTGTCTATTCTGATGGCTGTAGCTTTCCAGGGTCTTACACAAAGGTCTTTCCCGTCACCATGCCTGGTCCTTTTAACTGGCGATGCCGGGGATTTGAACCTGGGACTTTTCTGCATGCTAAGCAGAGGCTCTGCCTCTGAGCCACAAGTTGTCCCTGCCCCAAACGCACATTCAGGTTCGTGTGGCTAGAATCATAGAGTTGGAAGGGACCTCCAGGGTCATCTAGTCCAACCCGCTGCACAATGCAGGGAATTCACAACTATCTCCCCGCCACCACCCCCAGAGACCCCTGTTCCATGCCCAGAAGATGACAAAAACCTCCAGGGTCCCTGGCCAAAACAGCCTGGAGAAAAAGGCCTCCTGACCCCAAAGTGGCGATCAGCATTTCCCTGGGTGTGTAAGAAAGGGCCACGAGAACTAAGCACTGAGGCAACCCTTCCTGCCCTCCCTCTCGTGATCTGCCTGAGTTCACAGGATCCGCATTGCTGGCAGATGGCTATCTAGCCTCTGTTTGAAAACCTCCAAAGAAGGAGAGCCCACCACCTCCCGTGGAAGCCTGTTCCACTGAGGAACCACTCTGTCAGGAAGTTCTTCCTCATGTTTAGCCGAAAACTCTTCTGATTTAATTTCAACCCGTTGGTTCTGGTCCGACCTTCTGGGGCAACAGAAAACAACTCAGCACCATCCTGTCAGAACCCACAGCTAACAACGAAGTACACGCATTCAGGAACGGTTATACTTTTATTGCAAAGCTATAGATGCAGTAAGACAGACACTGTTAGGAATGGCCGCAGCCACTAGAGCATAATAGGATATAGG